ACGGTGCTGGTGATGCAGAGCTTTGACAAGGATCACGCAGGCCAGGAGAAAACGTGCTCCAAGCAAATGTCTGTTCCAGATGCTTCGTGGTACCTGAATTACGGCTGCAAACCCTGCAGCCTGGTTTTTTGGTTTTTTTTGTTTTTTTTTTTTTAATAATGTCCTTAAGAGCTCTAAAATGCAAACAATTTCCATCCTTTCATCCCTTTAAGGCTGTGGGCAGAAAAGTAGGAGTTGAAATAGCTCGATTTCAATCCAAGTTTTTTCCCTGGAGTTGAGTGATTTCTCTCTCCAACTCCCTATACTGTCCCCCTCTCGCCCCCGCCCCTTTCTTTCACACATCAGACAGAATCCAAATGTCTCTCAATTTAAAGCTTTTGGGTGCTTGGATGAGAGCATTGGGCTAGAGCTGCCTTAGTCCCCGGAGCCAGCACTGCCTGGAGTGTCGGGAGGGGATGCTCTGTGTCTGCACCAGACCTTGGTTTGGATCACCAGGGTAGGAGGTGAGTGCTCTGGAGCCCATCTGGTCAGACCTTGGCAGTCAGAGGCTGTCTCTGGCCTTTGAGCTGCTGCATGAGAGCTTACTCTTGGCTAGTTTGGGGAAGTGGAAGTTGTGGGGACACCTGGGCACCGTGCCCACCCCTGGAACTCAGCTCACCTCCCCACAGCTCTGCTGTGCCCCGCAATGCCCAAAGCCTTGGTGCAGGGAACAGTTTCTGTTTTTTTTGGATTTGAGATGGATGGGAGCTCATACCCAGCTAGAGGTCAGCATTTCCATTTCCATTGGATTTCTGAAGCCTGGCTGTTAAAGGATGGGGAGGTTGTGTGGTGGTCAGGCTGTAGATGCCATTTCAGCTTTACAGAGCTGCTGGGGAACCAGAGGAAGGAAAATGTGTGCTGCAGGCAGCTGTTGGGAGCTGGTGGGAGGTGGCTCGCTGGGCTCTAGGGCAGTGGGATCTGTTTGCCATGAGAGATGAGCTGATGGGGTTTTTGCTTACTGAGGTTTGATGCCTTTAGCAGGATGTCCCCGGAGGGGCACTGGAGGGGCAGGTGGAGGTTCCCCAGCCTTGTGCCGTGACTGCAGCCCCATTTCAGGGACAGAGGAAGAGGCAGACCACGGCGCTGCCACCAGGACCCTCTGGATTGGGCCTTGGTTGCCGGGGCAGCCCAGGGCATGACATTTGTGGGTGACACACGCCCATGGCTCAGCCCCGGTGCCCACACAGCGGCTCCTGCCTTTAGGAGAAATACGACATTTGCAGCATGAGGTTGCGAAAAGCCCGTGGCCGCGGAGGGGAGAGGAAATGACTTTTCTGTGGCGTTGGGGTGTGCATGTGTGCATGCGCTGCTGTGCCGGGGGCAGCTGGCCGGGAGCTGCCGGGGTCCCCCCGCCCCATCACAGCTCCCTCACGGCAGGAAGAGCCGCTGTGGCTGTGCCTGCAGGGCTGGCACACGAGTGCCACTGCCCCATCACTGCTGTGCCCTGCAGGGCTGGCACACGAGTGCCACTGCCCCATTGCCACTGCCCCAGCACCGCTGTGCCCTGGAGAGTTGGCACAGGAGTGCCACTGCCCCATCACCGCTGCCCCCGTGGCCACAGCACTGAGCCACCACCATGTTCCAGAGGAAACGCAGCGTCTCCTTCGGCGGCTACGGCTGGTGAGTGCCTTCCCTGTCCCTGCCTCACTTCTGGGAGCCATGTGAGGAGCTTTTCTTCCCTCTGAGGCTTCAGAGGAGGAAGCACCACGCGCCGCAGTACGTGGTGGCTCTGCCCTCGTAGCAGAGCCTTTCCCACAGCCCTGTGCCAACAGGAGCGTGTGGGTGTGTTGGGAAGGACCTTCTGCCCTCTGTGCCCGCGGGAAGCCCAGCACAGCTTCAACCCAGCAAAGCCTCGTGAGCACCAGGCAGTGAGGAGAACTCCCTGGGAGCTCATGGTGGGCTCCTGTGGGCACGTCACCTGCAAGAGCTTCTGTGCCCCTGCGCCCTTCTCTTGCTGCTCTGTCTGTCCCCAGCAGAGCACCACGGCTCTCGCCTGCACCCTGAGCTCAGGGGGCCTGTTTGCTCCCCTCCCTTCCCTCCAAGAGGTGTTGATCTGTAGGGAAATAGCTTAAGAAAATGCACTGCTCTCCCTCTGCCCTCCCTCCAGGTCCCCTCTCCGAGGTGTTTTATGCCCATTGCAGGTCTGTGCTGTGTGACTGTGATCTGTGACACTGTAATGGTGTTGGGTGTTTGGGGCAGAGGGTTGCTCTGTTCTGCAACAGCTGCAGGGACCAGGACTGGGCAATGGCAGCTCCAGGGCTTTGAGGGAAAATGTGGTGCTGTGGGCTTGGAGCTGCTTGAGATGGGCTGGGGGAAATGCTGAGTAACTGTGAGGGCTGTGGGGGCAGCTGACACACCGAGGCTTTGAGCAGAGTCCCCTGGGACGGAGCACACGCCTCACTGCAGCCAAGTGAGCTGCCTCGGCTGGATTGTGGGTTTTTGACATACAGAGGGGAAGGGAGCACTCGGATAAACTTCTGTACAAATACGTTTTGTGAAATGTGGGCTCATTTTGTGGTGGACAAATCGCAGCTCTTGGACAGCTCTGCCCCACAGTCTCTGTCGGGGGCAGCGGCTCTGGGGGCTCTCACTGCACTGGGAGCATCTCGGGGGCATCCTGGGAGCATCTCGGGGGCATCCTGGGAGCATCTCGGGGGCATCCTGGGAGCATCCCGGGGGCATCCTGGGAGCTTCCCACTGCGGTGGAGCCGAGCCATGAGCACCCCTTGGCAGAGGTGTTCAGGGGCCAGCCGGGCTTTGCTCTGTTGTTTTTCTGCTGCGCTTTGGCAGTTGCAGGAAAAAGACAACTGCGGGCTGGAGAACCGCTCAGGAAAGTGTGGTCTGCCGGCTGCTGGGAGGGGGGGCCGTGTGGGCTGCGGAGGGGCTGCCCTGGGGTTGGTTGGGCTGTGCCACCATCACAGTCAGGGCTGGGGGAACAGGACACGGGCTGTCCTTTCAACACCAGTGTCGGTGTGTGCGTGGTGAGAGACCCAGACGGGGAGTGCGAGGAGGAGCCCCCTCCTCCGTGTGCTGCGGGGGGAGCTCCGAGGGGTCGGGGCACATCTCCCCGGGTCCCTGGGGAAGACGCTCCCGTGCGCAGCCGGGAGAACCTTTCCTTGGGCGTTTACGGGAAAAGAAGGGACCCGCTACAGCCCTGTACCTGCACCTGCATCTTCTCACGGTCCCGGCCGACCCACCCTTCCTGTGGGGCCGCCTGTGAGGTGTCCGGGCACACCCAGCCGCCGCTCGCTGTGGCTGCACTTGCTATTTCCAACCTCCGCTGGGCTGGAAATTAATTTTTTTTTTCTCTCTACCGGCTGCATCTGCTGCTGGCGAGGTCCTGGAGCAGCGTGCTTGTCTTGGGGGGCAGGCGTGGTGCCCCCACATTGACTGCAGGGATGCACGTGGGGAGAAAAGCCACTGTGGTGCTGCCCAGGGACTGGAGCTGCCCAGGGACTGGTGCTGCCCTGGGACTGGAGCTGCCCAGGGACTGGTGCTGCCCAGGGACTGGTGCTGCCCAGGGACTGGTGCTGCCCTGGGACTGGTGCTGCCCAGGGACTGGTGCTGTAAGTGCTGCCCAGGGACTGGTGCTGCCCTGGGACTGGTGCTGCCCAGGGACTGGTGCTGCCCTGGACTGGTGCTGTAAGTGCTGCCCTGGGACTGGTGCTGCCCTGGGACTGGTGCTGCCCAGGGACTGGTGCTGCCAGGGCCGTGCAGCCCCAGGGCTGTACCAGAGCACGGGCAGGGGCTGTTTCACTTCGCCCCCTCGGGAGCAGGGCAGGGCAGCCAAACCGCTCTCACAGTCATAGTGCCACTGCGGTTTCCCAAGCAGAGGAGTTTCTTTCCTGTTTGTTTCTTTTTTTGTTTGTTTGTTTTGACTTGTTTTTTCTTTCTTCTCTCTCTAAGAGGCCAAATAACGACTGGTTTTTCCTCCCGTGGTTCCGGATGGAGCCACTCGTGCAGCCTCCACTCAGGCACAGTCCCACGGGCTGCCCCAGCCACCCGCTCCCCCTGAGCTCCTTTGCACCCACCACCCAGTCTGGGAGCAGCTCTGCCACCCAGCATTCTCTGATGTTCAGCCTGATTTAACGATCAACAAGACCTGGGCAGGCTTGTTGGGTATTAAGTGACAATAGCAGGTGCCCTGGGTCTATTTTTAGGAGCAGCAGTGCTCTGGCTCTTCAGGGCAGAGCATGGGAGCTGATGTTTGGGGAAGTGCAAGAGGAGGTTGGGGGTGTTCTTTTTGCCGTTTGGTCTTTTTTGAGATGTGGAACTGATTCCATGTGGCAGATAACAGAGCATTTGCAATGACTGCCAAAAGACATTGTTTTGCATTTTGAGACATTACTATGATTTGCATTAATTAATATTAATATGACTCTAACCGTAATGATTCTGTGGAGATGGGCACTCATTAACGGTGCCAAGGAAAAGAGTGAATGAACTGGGGCTCCTGGTTCCATGTGAGCCAGCTGGGGCTGGGATCAGTGTGGCTGCTCTGTGTTCTGTCTGCCCCGGGGAGAGTCACCTTTGTGGGGTTTGGTGGGATCTTCCCAGCACGTCAGGGCTGTCCTGGGTCCATCATGTGTAAATACATGTTTTATGGGAGCTGTGCTTTGGAGAGAGCCAGGACATGGGTGATGTCCTCCTTTGCTGCCCAGCTCACCCACCTCTGGCGTTCCAGGGGGGGAGGCAGCAGTTCTGCACTGGTCACCACCAGGAAAGAACTGGGGGGATTTTGTCCTGCTTGCTGCCAGGCTTCACTTTGGGTTAAATTTTGGCTGAATTTGTTTTCTGATGAAGTCTTTCTGTGGTGATTGTCATGTCAGCCAGAGCACTGGCACCTCTGAAGTGGATGCTGGGGTTGTGTTTGGCAGGAGACCCCAGTACCTGACCCCCACCCTACACCCACAGCCCCTGTGCCCACAGTAATGCCCTGCTCTGCTCTGCTCTCTCCCCAGGATCGACAAGACAATGCTGGCCAGCCTGAAGATCAAGTGAGTACCTGACTCTTCTCTCACAGTGATTTCCTGTGCTGGGAGCTGGCTCTGTGTGTGGAGGATGCTCTCCTGGGAGCTGGGTTCCAGCTGGTTCCGTGGAGTCCAGCCATGTCCACCCCTTCCAGGGCATACATTGTGCATGTCCCATGGCCTGTTCTGGAAGTCTGAGGTGAATCAGCCACTGGGAGATGGTAACAAACACAGGGACACGATCACTGTGAGATCAGTGGGCTGAGACGTGCACTGCCCAACTCACAGGGCACCAGCTCTGCCTTGGGGGTGCTGGGGGTGGGAATCAGCAGGATGGACCCTCACTGAGCTTCTGGGTGTAAATCCAGGGAAATCTGGAGGTTTCATATTTCGTTTTTCAATCCTGCAGTCTGGAGAGGGGCTGGGTGTCAGTGGGACAGTGAGTGCCTGTGACCCAGCTCCTCTCCCGTGCTGCTGGGGGGCTCTGGGCACTGCTCTGGAGGGGGTGGAGGTGTTGCTTGGGCCCAGGAGAGTCTCTGGGCTGGCAGTGTTGCTTGGTGGGTCCATCTTGGATTTGCCACAGACTTGCTGGGCACTGGTGGTGTGGACTGTGGTGCTCTGGCAAGGCGGTTGCTGGGCCAGGTCCTGGGCTGGGATGGAGGAAGGCACGTGGGGTCACTGCCCCTGCTGGGAATGTCACCAGCTGATGGGGAAAAGCAGGTGAGGAAGGTCTGGGAATGGTGGCACTGGTGCTCTCTGCTCCCCCAACACTTGTGGCTGTCTGGGACCTGCTCCCTGTTCCCACCAGCTCTGTCCTCCCAGCTGCAAGTCTGGGGGCACCAATCCCTTCCCTCCCACTGCAGGGCATCCTTCCCTCTCCTGGATCCTGGATAAGCTCCCGAGTCGGGGGTTCCCCATTGTGAGCACACGTGGCTCCAGCACCATCAGCTTCACCCTGGGCTGGTACAGAAATATTCTGCCCAAGTCTCCCCTGGGCTCTGGGCAATGTGTAGGGTGACAGCTCATGTGGTTTCCCTTTATTATCATTACTTGCACAAATTATTCATTAATGGCAAAGTATCTGGGAAGCCTGGGGGAGCTGCCTGAACGAGCCTGTTGTAAATGGCAGAGCAGAGTGGTTGGTGCTGTGCTCACTGCTCGGGTTGTGCTGAACTAATGAGAAGTTTAAATCAATGTTTACCACCTTGGGGAGTGGAGGGAATTCTCTGCAGACTTCCCTTTTCCTGTGAAGCCGAGAAGGACTGAGCTGCTTCTTGTACTCTGCCCTACACTGTGCCCTGATTTTTTTCCAGGGCTGGTGCAGCAGTTCTGCTGCAGAAACCCCGTGTGCCCTCCTCTCCCCGCTGTGCCAGGCACTGGTGAGGCACTGGGAATGCTGTGGAAGTGCTGTGGGCACTGCCTGGGCAGGGTGAGGGTCTGGCTCCACATTTCTCCCTCCCTCTGCCCCCTCCTGCCCTGGCCAGTGGAGACAGTTTCCTTGGATCTCTTGATGAACATCCACTGCTCTTTGCAGCTAATGCTTCCCACAGCCCTGTAATGCTTCTGGTCTATGGGCAGGCTGCTTCATTAAGTGGTTCTGTAATTGTGGCCCAGCCACGTTTGTAAAAGCTTTTAAAATTATAAAAATATAATAAACCCAACGTTTTGGTTTTCTAGCGCCCTCTTGTTATTGCTGCAGCCTCTGGCTGAGTGTCCTGGCTTAACCCACCGCACAGAGGCACCAGGCAAGGGCAGTTTTCTTTCCCTGTATAAGTTATTAGCAAAAATCTGAGCACTCAGGGAGCCTCGTGCAGCTGCAAATATCAACACTGACTCACAGAAACGTGGGGGGGACACTGGTGTGCAGTGGGGGATGTGGCCCCTCAGATCTGGTGTCTGGGGGGACGGAGCAGGGCAGCAGGAGGGCTGAGTGAAGCTCTGGGATCCTGTCAGGATAAACTGGTCCACGCAGGGTCAGGTAAACTCGCCCACGCAGGTGGCACTGGAGCATCAAAGCAGTTTTCTCTCTGACTGTCTCTCCTTTTTCTTCTTCAGTTTGGGTTTCATTAGTTCCTATGGTAACCATGAATATGTCTGAGGGGCTGGAGACGTGAGTAGACACTGCAGGGTGGGAGTGTTGGGGGATGTGGTGGGTGGGGAGCCCTGGCATCGTGGGCAGGGGCTTGGCTGACCCCACAGGTGCTGAGGAGGTGCCAGTGCTGTGCTTGGGCAGGGAAGGTGCTGCTGAAAACTCGAGCAGCCCTGGGTGTGCAGGGGTTCCCAAGGGAGCAGTCAGGGACCCCTGGGCCCCCCTGGCCTTGGGAAATCCTTGTACTGGGGATGCTGGAGGTGGGAAGGTGCAATGGGGACAAACCCATGGGGATCTTCCTCTGATGAGGATGAACCTGTGGGGACCTTCCCCCTCATCTCTGGAACAAGGTGGCAGAGTGGGGTCCTGCAGGGGGTTCACCAGCTCTTCAGCCTCTGCACTCTGGTTGTTTGCTCGTTGGTGTTGGTGGGATGTGCTGAGAAACCGTGGAGTATTTAACAAAAAAAAGAAAAAAAAAATCAGTAAAAAAATTCCCTCCTTCAGGCAAAGAGTCACCTCTTCCTTCAGCCTTATAAAGCAAAAATAGCACCGAAATAATCATGTCTCCGTGGAATGGAGGAGCCCTGCACAGCAATTACTGGGAGTCAGCGTGTGTGCAGTCAGAGCTCACATGAAAGAGCATGTGAAGCTCCTCTGCTGGTGGGATCAAGGGGATGAAGGTGGGAAGAGATGAAAGATTTACTTGACCTTCGTAAAATGAGCTGTGTCCAGGCTTGGGGCTCTTTAATATTTGATGGGCTGGAGCTGAGTTAATGGGAAGATGTGGGGGTGATTTGGCTTCTTGGTGATGGCTGCTGTGAGCATTGCACTAATCTTGGAGGTTTGCACTTGGGTCCTGTGAGGACAAGGTCTGGCGAGCAGATTTGCATCTAAGTAAATTCCTCTGACTTATTAGCACTTTATAAATGGATAATTGCGTGCAAATATATGTTTTGCAATTATACTTAGCTGGAGTAGCACATGCAAAGGAAACACTGTTAAAACCACTGCAGCACGCAGGGAGGCAGGTGGGCTTCCCATCTCCCTTGCTTTGGAACTGCTGCTCTCTGGGGCTGCTGAGCCGGGAGCCAGCCCAGTGGAGACCCCAGCAGTGACCCCCACCTGCCAACATGCCCAGGGATGGTTATCCCAGCTCTGGAGCCTGGTGGGACCCTGGGCAGTGACTCCCTCCCCCCCGTGTGCCCGGGGAGGGTTATCCCAGCTCTGGTGCAGAAATGCCAGGGAAGGACTGAGCGTGTGGGGCTGGGGTGTGAGGGGTGCCCAGAGACTTGGAGCAAACTTTAAAATGTTAAACCAGTGCTGGGCTGGAGGGACAGAACGAGGTCAAGGCTGTCTCTCTCAGTGGGTCTGTGCTGGGTGGGTGTTAGTCGGGCACCCAGAGGAGTGCAGGGCTGTGGCACTTGGAGGTTCATGGCCGGGCATGGCATCCCAGGCAAAATGAGTCCCTGTGTTGGCAGCGGGTCTTGTGCTGGGTCCCTGCTAGGATGAAACCCCTCACAGTGCCAAGGAACTGCAGGCCCGTGGCCAAGTGTGACACATTCCTGCTGCTGCTGCAGGTGCTGTCTGCCACCATCCCCTCTGCTGCCTGAGCTGCCTGCTGGGACAGGGGCACAGTCCATCCTACCCAGGGCAGCCCCAGGGCTGGCGGGGGATTTATAAAATCCAGCCAGTCCCAACGTCTCCTTGCTATCTCTGGAGAGCAGGCAGGAGCACTTCCCTCTTTCAGGGAAGGGCGGTTATCGTCCTGGCTGCCTGCAGACACCCAGCCCTGCGCCCACGCAGCATCCTCCCAGCACATCTCACAGTCTGCTGGGACAGAGGGAACTTTCCCAGGAGGAGGAAGGTGCTGTCAGCTCTGAGGATTTGGAGTGTTTCAGCCATTTAACCTGGTGAGCCTTAGCTATATAAAATTTCAGGGCGGGGAAATGGGTGCCGGCGCAGCTCCACTGATGCTCCCCCTTGGTGTTTGACTCCACGCTTTCCTGTTAGTGTCTCACTGTATATATTTGGGTTTATGGGAGGGCTTTTTCCTGCAGAAAGCCCAGTTAGGAGTGGAGGGGGTGGGCTGGGATCTGGCAGTGCCAGTGCAGCTCCCCGGTGACGTTGGAGGCGGCGCAGCGGCGCGTTCCGTGTGCGCCGCCCCGTCCATATGTTAAAATGTTGTTGTTGCTGTTAGACAGCATCCCCATATTTAAAGCTAGATTATCCACAATTACATCTGCCCAGAAGATTGAGCGGCCCCACGTGGGTCTATTTTTAGCTCTGTCTCAGAACTAATAAAATGTGATGGTTTATACATCTCCCCTCCTGCCATGTTTGCAGCCTGTCGGGCTGTTTGCAGACAGTTGGAGGGCGGCTGCTTCGGAGAACAACCTCCTGCTGAGGGCAAACATGGTTATGATGGGTGGAGGGAGCCGTGATGGCCGTGGGGATTGAGGTCCCACCTGCCTGCAGGTTCCCTCCGCTGTGTCCGGGTGCAGGAGTCACGAGCCTCCCCCAGGCAGGGTTTGGAGAAGCTCTTGCCCTGCTCAGTGTGCCCACTGGCTGCCCCCAGCCGTGGCCAGGTGCCTGCCCGCCATGGGGAGGGATTTGGGCAGTGTGACAGCCTGGAGCAGGGCAGGCAGTGCCGGGGTGGCCGTGCAGGCGCTCTGCCAACGCCTGTGGTTTGTTCCTGATGATAATTTTGTTAATTGCTGTACTGCTGCTGCCGGCTGTCACTTCTCCTGTGACCTGGCCTCCTGCTGCCTCCGGGGCCGGTGAGCCCATGGTCTGGCAGAGATGGGCGGCCACTGGCACCCAGCAGCATTCCTGTGCCATGGGAAGGTTTGGTGCCAGCAGGGCCCGAGGACCTGGGCTAGAAATGCCCCTCTCCATCCCTGCTCTTTTGTTTCTGGTGGGGCTTGTGATGCTGGTTTTGCACTTGGTGAGCAAACACTGGCATTGGACCTGTACAATATCCAAGGAACTCACATTTTCCAAAGCCTGTTGCAAAAACATGGCTCGTCTCAGGCTCCCACCCAGGAGAGACGTAGAGGCTTGACAGGTACTCGAATAGGTCAGAGCTACATTTTGAGTCTCTGTGGAGTCTAAAAGGTCAATCCTTGCAGGCACTGTCCTGTCTCATTCCTCTCAAATATTACTGATGTCACACCAGAGACCACAACAGCTCCTTCTTCCTACAAGCAGTATGGTGGTAATCCTCTCCAGTTTGGAATGCAGAGCGCACTTCCCAAAATCCTGACATGCTGATCCGGGTCTCTTGTCCCTGATCATTGATGAGGTTGCATAGCATGAGGTGATTTAATGAGGAAGATGGTGGGTTTGCAGTTAAAAATGTCTTCATTTTCCATCTTTTTTTTGATCTGGAGTAAGAGACAAGAAAAAAGATGTAGAGCAACAGAAACCCCTTTCTGGATGTGATTGACTTCAGCACGTTCCCTGTAGTACGGATGTGTCAGAGATAATACCCGTGTTTTAGCTCCACAAATTATATGTCTTTTAATGCTCTCACATCAAACAAGGTGTCTGAGGGAGGCGGATAATCGAGACGGTGTCATCTCCTGGGGGAGCTGCTGGTGTCATCTCCTGGGGGAGTTGCTGGGACCCCGGCGCTGCTGCTCCAGCTGCCACCCCTGCGGCACCAGGGCGTGTTCCTGCCCATGCTGATGACCCCCCTGCTGCTCACCACCACTGGTCCTCCCCACTGATGACCCCCCTGCTGCTCACCCCACTGCTCCCCCCCCTTGGGATGACTGGAGGTAGAAGCTGTTCCTCCCTTCATGGCATCCATCCACGGTGGGCCAGGGGGTGCCACTGTGGCAGTGGAGGCTCAGGAGAGGGAGCGACAGCGGAGCCACTGGGGAGGGGATTGGAGAGGCTGAGCACACGCTCTGCTCAGCTGGGCTCCTCTTCGTGTGATGGGATTAGTGCTTCTCCAGAGCAGGAGCAGCCCTCTGGACTGTGTGTCCAGCATTGCCACCAGGACCTGCCTTTGCAGCCACCAGCTCTCCTGCTTGCTCTGCTCCTGCGAGGGCTCCCTGCAGCCCTTCTGTGCTGGACCCCTGCACAGCACCGTCGTGCCCAGCAGAGCCAGGGCTCCTGGGGCCAGGTCAGCAAACCCCCAGCCTGGGGTTCAGCTGTGCAGCGTGGTGGGACTGGTGCCACCGTGGGACTGGTGCCACCGTGCTGCATCCCAGGCTGTCTCTGAGTGCTTTGGGATGTTTATTCTGAGACGGCTCCCGCAGGGATGGGGCCGAGGTGGTGCCTTTCTTCAGCAGCAGGATTCAGAGACACAGGCCAGCATCGCCTGGAGCTGCACCTTCCCCTGTGCCCCCCTGCTCGTGGCTCATGAGAGCCCGTGCAGGGCAGAGGGCAGCTCTCCCTGGAATGCTGGTCTCGGGGAGCAGTGCCTGGAAGCCTGAGCCTCCTGCCCGAGCCCACTCTGCTCTTCCCTGCCTCTGCCTGGGGTCACCCCCCTTCTCCCACGTCCCTTGCAGCATCCTTGGGAAGGGCATTGCTTGGCTGAGGTTAAAGTTTGTGCCTAATCCTGAGCTTCCTGGCAGGATTCCAGTGGTGATTGATTGGAATAATGGTTTCAGGGATGACCTTCGCTCTGCATGGGGAGTGGAGGAAGGACCAGGGGCTGAGCAGGGTGCTGGTGGTGCTGGAAGCGCTGGGCTTGTTAGTGGCTGTGCATCCCAAATCTGGCTTTATTAGTAATTTTAATGATGAAGGGTGACATTTAGTTCACTGATTTACTAGTAAAATTCAGAGGATCTGCTCATGCTGTAGAGACTAATTTCCTCTTCTGATTTGATCTAATTTAATTGGATGCTGAAATCTTGGAGCTCATCTCTTCGGGAAGCCTGCGCTCACAGGGAGAAATACCCCGAATTATCAGGAATACAATTTCCATGTAATCGTGCTGCTGTCATAGCCATGATTACCTTGTTCTTGTTATACCATCGGAAATGATACAGTTACCCCAGGGAGCTGCTGCTGCTGCCCCCGTTGCCGTCATGCAGCCGCACTGCTGGGCAGGGAGAGCCCAAAGCTGTCTTACTCAGGCTGTTGGAATTATGGGACAGCGTTTGGCTCGTGGCCAAATGGCACATGGTAGATGGGAGAGGTGTGTAGGAGACTCCTTGTACCCACAGCTTGTTTTGTTCCTTGATAAATGAGTCTTGGAAAACCACCCGCTATTCATGTGTTGATCGCATGGTCGGTGTTCCAGGCTCCTGTTGCTGGTGCTCCTGGGTCACTGCACCTCGGTGGCTTTCCTGGGGAAGTTCTTGGCCTGGCTACGGCTCAGGCCTCACCCCCTTTGGAGCTGGTACCAAAGTGTTGTTGGTCTGGCTGAGTGTGTCCATCACATGCGGTGCTTGGCGTCGCCTGCACGCTCTGCAGCCATCAGCCACTTCATTGGGATGCTCCAAAGTCTGCGTGGCCTTGAACAGGGACAGTGTGGGGTGTGCAGGGAGGTGCAGGAAGGGCGACAGGACCCGGCTGACCTCGGCTCCCTCCTGCAGTGACAGTTCTTTCATTTTTGTTCTTCCATTGTGGCTTTGGCTGCTCTCTCTGCCTATTGCCTGTGAGGGCTGGAAATTGTGCTGGGGAGATGGGCCATTGTGGGCTCTGCTCAGCCCCAAGTCGGGTAGAAGGTTGATGCTTGTCTGTGCTTGTGAGAGGGATGGGCTCTGGACAGGGGTGAGCCTGTGGCCTGGGCTCCTGCTTGAGCTCAACAGGTAAATTTGTCCTTGCACTTCAACCCTGTCCTTCCATATGGGAGCCACGGGGCTGGGGATGGGGAGCTGCCAGCACTGGGCACTGCGGTGTGGGGGAGCCTTGCTGACTGTGGGGTGGGGGCTGGGAACCTGGGGCTGCACACACCAGTCTGATCCCTGGGAATTGTCACGGTGCCGGGGTGGCTGCTGCCATGTCACACCTGTCTCACCCTATTTCTGGGGAGATAAACTTGTGTTCTGTCTCTCATTGCCTGCGTGGAGGAGCCGGCTCTGTGTTTGCCTGGGATTTCCTCCATGTCTTTCCAACTGAAGGCATAAAATAAATTTCTAATCAGATTACTTGGGGCTGAATGTAACATAATCTAAAGCTCTATTTCTTGTGATACTTCTCTAAAACTGGATGCTCTCTTATCCTCTTCCTGCAGTGCTGATTGAAATGCTATAATCGCCTTCTCCCTCGTTTGCAAGCTCCCAAATCCATTTCTGCTATGCCAGGGAAATGGGGATGTGACTGCTCCTTTGCAGAGGAATGGTTACTATTTTTGGGTTTTGGTCCGTGTTGCGTCGGCTCCTTTTGTTCCTCGCTGGCTCCCAGTTCCCGGTGGTGGTGCAGCTGCCCCATCCCAGCTCTCCCACCTGGGCAGTGCAGATGTCCACGCTCAGGCAGCGGTCAGCACCCAGGGGGACTCTGGGTGAGTGCCTGGGGTAGTGGGGAAGGGTCCCAGCTGGATCTCTGGGCTCCCCTGAGCCCCTGCAGGGGTGGGCTGGCCCTGCCTCCAGCCCGGCTGTGGCAAATGCCTGGCACAGCTCAGGTATTTCTGTCCCTCGTGAGCGAGGGAACCAGAAATATCTCCTGCACAGGGAGGCACAGAGGGTGACAGGGATGGATCCTGTGCCATCTGACAAGGCAGTGCTGTGGCTCTGGCTGAAGGATCCTGAGTCACCAGAGCTGGGGTCAGCGGTGCCTGCAGCTCAGATGTGAACCATGGGCTGGGTCCTGCACGGGTGGAAATGCCCTGGTGGTGGCTGAGGAGGGTCAGTGAGCTACTCACCCATGGGGGGTTTCATCTCATTGTAGCATCAACACAAAAGCCAAAGTTATTACAGAAATGTGTGGCTTCATAGTAATATTAATAGTGCCATTTTTTCATGGCAGATTCAGTACCCTCAGGGATGAAGGCTCGATCTTGTCCCAGTCTGGTGTTTTCAGATTATTCTTTCTTAGCAGAGTGTCCAGAAGAAACTGTTGAGCTCTGGCCACCAGGAGATGTATCAATCACAGCCACCAGGTGATGTATCAATCACGGCCACCAGGAGATGTATCAATCACGGCATCGTTGTCCTGACCTGCCGTGCACTCCCTCCAGCCCCTCAGGCTTCCTAGTTTGCTACCAAACTGTTTCTATGAAGAAACAATGTCAGGGCATTTTCAGAGACATACTTATTTCTTCATAAAACAGGACAGCTGCTCACCCTAGAGATCATTTGGTCACTGAAGGGGTGATACTGAATTTTTTAAAGGAAAGATGAAGACTTGGAGCCTCCTGAGCTACAACGTTCTGTGTGAGGAGGTGTCCTTTGGCATGTCTGGAGGGCTTTTAGGAGTGTTGCTAACAGGGCAGAGGTGGGGGCTTTCAGATGTGCCAGCCCTGACACCTTGTCTGCCTCCCCAGGCATCACTGTCACCCTGCCCTGCAGAACCTAAGAAATACAAGGCAGCTTCTGGGGGCTCGTCACAGCTGGAGGGGATGTCCTTGGGAGCAGGAGGTTCCCTTTCCTTTCACCTGTGTGTCCAGTGAATGAGCATCCAGCCCTCCTAGGAGAACCCATGGCCCCCCAACCCTCCTCCAGCCCCTCACTGTTTATTATCTTGCTCTCAGCCTATAAATTACAGATCAGCTGCAATGAGTCCAGACCCAATTGCTTCCAGTGTGGGCTGGGCAGCATTGGGGTGGAGAGGGAACCTGGCTGAGTGTCTGCTCAAAGTGTTTCTCTATTTCCAAATAGGAGAGAATTGAACATCTTTAAAAATCAATACAAAGCCACTTCAGCATAAACCAAGAGCACATTAATACTTAACTTGCCTGGAAAAGGGAAGGAGAGATGTGGAAAATGTCTCCAGAGAGAGAGAGACTCAATGAAATTCGAATCTGCCTGTTTAATGTGAGAGGTAAAAGGTTTAAAATTAACCCCCTCCCCCTCCATTAACTGGAAGCTAATGAGGTGCTGGAGAATTGGTGTAATTTGGCAGGGAAATGGGACCTAATTTCTTTTTCTTTCTCTTTTTTTTTGTGCCTGAGAGATGTGACAGACTGATGGTTTCTGCTTGAAAGGAAGCAGCCAGATATTTTCTGCAGGAAGAGATCTGTTGATCCACCAAAAACTTTATTGAGACACTTGGCAGGGGAGTGAAGGGCTCTTCCCTGCTGTGGGGTGCAGGCAACACCCGGGTTTAATCCTCTTACCCACTCTCATTCTCTCACCACCACTCACAGTTTGGCACCATTTAATGTTGTTCTGAGGAGGCAGAAATGCATTTTGGGGTGTTTGGAGAATGGGCTGGGTTTTTCCCTGTGGGGAAGTGGGAACCTTGACAGTTGTCTGCTGGAAGTGCTGCTGCCTCAGCCTCCCCAGGGATCTCGAGATCTGGTGAAACACAAAAATACTGATCTGGGTTTATGTTTGGATCCTGACTCTCTGGAGAGCTCTGCGTGCACAGTGTTGGGATGGGTGCTGTGGTGACACTGAACCGCTGTCTGGTTCATCTGGGGTGAATTCATGCGGTGTGTTGACAAAAATAACATCACGTCTGTTTTTATCTGACTTACAGTAGGATGCTGACAGAGATTACGGTGATGATGGGGGGTTGTGGTTGAATTTAAAGAATCCATCTGGTTAGAGATTGTGCCTAAACATTTAGGTAGAGATGGTCAGAACTGAGGTTATGTTGCTCTCCTCAAGGATGGCAGGCAGGGAGGGGAGTGATAGGCAGGAGGGTGACAGGCAGGAGAAGGCAGCAGGAGCGGCTGCTCCCTGCCAGATGTGGTCTGTGGCCTCTTGTGAGCTGTTTCTCCTGAGCAAACACATTAATTACAGGCTTTGCCAGGGGAGCCCCATGTGCTGTTAATGATTGACTGCTCCAGCTGGGGGTTTCCAGGCAGCTCCTGCTCCGGGCCGGGCTGTTGCTCTGTGGGTGGGGAGCAGGGACTGTTCTCCCCATCTTTGCCCAAGAGCTGCTGCAGGTCCCACTGGAGTGGATGGTGGCTGTGGTCATCTGCAGCCTGTACGTGGCCCCCCCCAGGCTCC